ACCACCTTTATAATATTTGAGGTTGGTAAGGTATTCTCCCAAAACTTCTGAGGCCCAGAAGACATTAAAGGAAGAAGGAAGGGAAAAGGAAAGAATAATCTGATATATTTTCTTACATCCAAATCTAAATTTTTACATGAAAAAGATTTCCATAATCTATTGTAAGCAAAATTAAAAGACAACTGCAAGGTTGGAGAAAGCGATTAATACAGGAAACACAGAGTTAATATTGCTAATCTGCATATTGCCCCAATAAATTAGTAGTAAAATGACAATACAACAGAAAAAGCAGGCAAATGTTATTATAATAGACTTTTCACCACATCTGTTTTTCTTCCCTGTAAGAGAACAATGCTTTACCATCCTGGTGAACTCAGACATGGCCGTATGATTCGTTTGGGTCAATGAAGTATATCACAAGCAGATGCTTTAAGATTTAGATTTGATTTGTTGTGTTCTGTTTACCTTCTTCTGTAGCATCCAGTGATATTCTGAATAGTAGCTGCTCCCAACCAACCCAAGATTAAAACACAATGTGAGAGTTAAACTTTTGTTTTAAACCACTGAAGTATGGGGGTTGTTGATCCTGTCCAATTCCATTTCGGCTGGTATAACAAAAATACTATAGATTGGGTAATTTATATACAGCAGAAATTTATTGCTGAATATTCTGCAGGCTGAGAAATCCCAGATCAAGACAGAGATTTGGTGTCTTGTCAGGGCTCTGTTCCTCATAGATAGTACCATTATGTGCCCTCACGTGGCAGAAGGAACAAACAAGCTCTCTTGGCTCTCATTATAACAGCGCTAATCATGATCATGAGAGCTTCTCATGACCAAATCATCTCACAGATACCCCACCTGCCAACACCGCTGGACTGGGAATTAGGTTTCAATGCATGAAGCTTTGGGGAACACAAACATTCATACCATAGCAGATATTATGGCTTAACCTAACCTGTCCTGACTCATACTAAAAGTCCATATTAGAATATGGGTGTTGTTGCACCAAAATCTACAAATATTTGGCACTGATTTAAGAGTTGTGCTCTGGGAAATGAGAACTGTCAGAAGCTAGAAAGTTGGTGAGACATAGCAAGTAATAGAGAACATTTCAGTAGCCTGAAAGGCAGGTCCTGCACATAGTGAGTATGTGGTTTAAGGGTAAGAGGTTTAGAAACAGAATGTTAGTTGCAGGTATTGGCAACTCTATATCTAAATTCTCAGATTATTACAAAAGATATGAACTTGATAAGATAATTTGCTGATTTTTAAACATGAGTGGGATAAATGAGAGTCTTAGAAATTGTGTACTTATACAGCTGAAAGTTGAATTCAACCTTCAAGCAGTGCGACATAAAATTGAGGAAGTTTTTGAACAATAAAAAGCAGATTTGATCTCAGACTTGCTTGTACCAAAGAAAAGGTGAAAGATATGACTTTCTTCTTACCTACTGTTAAAATCATTAGAATCTTTTAACCTATTTTCTCAGTGCAAGTATCAAATTAAGGGTATAATTTTTACATGCGTTATTGAAAACACATGATAGGTTAAAATAGAATAAAGGTTCAACTAAGTGTATGACACTCTTCATTTGGGCAAAATGGCTCAGGAAAAAGGGACTGAAGGGATGGCTCTCCCATCCCTTCAGTAATCAAGGTACTGAAAATTCAGTTGGGGGGTGGGGAAGGGACTAGAAAAGAGGCGTAGATATTGTTAATAGGACATAGAGCTGACTGGAATGCAGTTCCTAAGACACTGACCTATGTTTTTGAAAAAGAAAACTGTACTGCCGCAGACCATGAACCTGGACTAAATGGTTTGTGACTGAAGCTTAAAATTATACTTGGGAAAACAACCTCTGTTGTATGAGAAGCAGTACCTAACCTACTAGATTTCCATGGAAGGCAGTTTTCCTGTACTAACTTTATATATGACTTAGAGCAGAATTGAAAATGAAGAACATCCTGGATAGTGGAGACAAAAGCCACAGGCAAATAATGGACAAAGAAGCCCCTTAAAGGAAAAGCAATCAGTGACTGTTCCCAGGAAAGTTCTCTAAGCCTAGGGCAGGGGCATCTGCAAACATCTGCCCCAGTGGGATTTCATTGTTTCTGTGGCCTGCTGGCTGCTATGTCTCCCATTCTTCTGTTTTTGAATGAAAGAGTTTAATGCAGTTTATCCTATACCTTTGTTACCTTTGCACATTGGAAATGTTGATTTCTTATTTAGAAACTACCTTGTATCACCCTGAGCTTTGATACATTTCACTTTCAGCTTGAAGCAGTGATTGCATAGTAGTTAAGTTTGTTTCCCTTGGAGAGGGGCAAAGTGTCCAACATGGAAAGGGTAGAGAACTATATTTGTTAACCAGTGTTCAACTGCATTAGACCTGTATTATTGTTCCCTGGGGCATAGTTCCCCTTCCTTCATATGCCCCAGGTTGTTTGAACTGTATGTGAACACATGGCTCGCTTTGGCCAATTAAATGTGTACAAAAGTAACATACATCACTTCTAGGGAAAAGAATTATGAGTCAGTACATGCCTCATCAAATTAGATATTCCATCTGCCACAAGAGTCATTAATGTGGCTACTAAATAGTGGCAGCTCCATCAGCTGGAGCCCTGGAGTGAGGATAAGTAGGCTCTGAAATACAGCCCCTAGTTGACTTGTGATAAATATGTAGCATGAGTGAGAAACCACCATTTGTTCTTAAAGACTACTAGGATTTGGGAAAGGTGGTATTTGTGTAGGATAACCTAACTGGAAGTTATAAATAATTAGAAGATTAAAGTATAAATGACTAGTGAACATATAAAAAAGATAATTGATTAAAAATGATCAGGAAGGCAGCATATATATCTTGGAAATTGTTACTGAGTACATTTAAGATATTCAAAGAATATAATTTTGGAATTGGGCTTGTCAAGAGACTAGAGCTTCTGCTTGACAAGATGGCAGGTATTACAGGGTTACAATTAGGAAAGAAATGTATAATTGTACCTAGGTCTCACATGTGCCACTGTGACAAGAATGGCTGAATGACTGGGTGAATCATTCACTCTGACACAGAATATTATCTCTGCTAGGGTCTTCCTTTTAGTCCTCAAACTGTTTCATCTTTCTACTCATAGAAGACATTGCCTGACTCCCTAAGGGATATAGCTCTAAATATCATCTACTCATGGTCTCTAGCTCAAATTTCAAACTCTCAGGATAGTACATAGTTGTCTTTATCTGGCCCAGATGTGGTCTCATTTTGTCTGGCAACCCATGGTTAAAACACAGGTTATCAACCCCCACTCACACAGGCCCAATATACAATGGTCGAACTAGGACCAAATAACTTCAATAAATATTGTGGTGGTAGATTGCAATATCTGTTGGCAATATTCCCTTCCACTCCTGTTACTCAAAATGGTTAACTGTGGACAGAGATATTTCTCCAACATGCTGATTTTGGTTTTGGCCATGTGCCTGGCTTTGGCAAATGACATGTGAGCAGATATAACTTACAGCATGCTAGACTAGAGGCATTAAATGTGTTTGTATGACAGGCTTCACTCTAGTCCTCTGTCCTGCATTATGATAAGAGCATACTCCTGGTAGCTACTGCTGTTTTACCGTGGGTTCCAGAAATAGACGTGTGGAGCTGACGAAAACGCACCTCATAACCTGAAGGTGAACCCTACTGAGTCACAGTTGACCCACAAAACTATGAGACATAAATGCTGATTGTTATAAGCTACTGATGTATGCAAATTATTAACCACAGTAAAAGTGAATACCATTCCCATTTAAAATAAGGAAGAATAGGAAACAGAATAGCCACTGACTGGGTTGTGATAATTTTGAAATCTCCCTAGGAAGCTGCTATGCAGATGCTCTCTCCTTGGTGTAGGGAAATTCCTTAATTAAACTCTGATTCCGCACTCTGAAAAAACTCCCTTGTTCACGATCTCCACAGCCCATGGATCTACCCTCTGGGGAGCTGTACCTTGTTCATGCTATGTCTTTGGCTACTTCTGAAATGCTTGTTGAAGAGCAAGCTCTCTTTAGGGGCTGCAGAGCCTTTGACGTCAGCTTCCTCGTCATGGGCAGTTAGAGGACCAGGTTTATTTATGTCTGGAATAGTCCAAGTCGTTTGTGCTAGGCTTGTGGATTCTTTAACCATACAGTTACCTCCAAATTTAGTAATCCGTTTGCATCCAGTTAGTTTTGTGAGCCAGTAACTAGAATCCAAAATGTCTCTAGACATAATTCTCAAATGTCCTCTATTTCTTTGCCTCTTTATCCCCATACATCTTTCAATTTGTGGTCAAAACTATTTAGAAGAAAACATGGACATTTGAACCTTTAGTCCTGTTTTATACTGTCTCTTATTCATGTTATGTAAGCAAATGGCTTTCCAAATCTGCAAGGCTCCTGATTTCTGGATCGTCTTTCGTCCTTTCATGTCTTTTCAGAAACTAACCACTTCTTTCTTAAGTCATATTTCTTATATAATGTCTTGCCAGAGTCAATAGAACTTAACATGTGCTACTAACACTTAATTTTCTACCCTCTCTCATTATAACACTAATTATGTAGCCTTTCCATCTGCAATTAAGTTAATGCACTGATGCTGTTACCAAAAGTTTTGCTATTGAATTAAATAGATCTCTAGCTATTTCATGTCTTCATTTCTCCTTGCCATCAAGCTTCCTGACCATTGAGGTGATACGGTCAGGAACATGCATATGGAGGTGATATGGCCACATACTTTTGTTATTTGTGTCACAGGATCACTCCACTTCTGTTACCAGTGTTTGCATTAGGTAAAGTTAGGCTTTATAAAGAACCGCTTTTCAGCCATGAATACTACAGTGTCTGAAGAGACAGGAGTGTGAAGAACCGTTTAAGACAGTAACGCTCTGTATTAAGGTTCTCTAGAGGGACAAAACTAAGAGCATATATGTAGATCTGAAAGGGAGTTTATTATAGAGAATTGACTCACATGATCAGAAGCTGAAGTCCCACAATACGCCGTCTGCAAGCTGAGGAGCAAGGAAGCCTGTAGTGGCTCAGTCCGAGACCAGCAGTCTCAAAAGTAAGGAAGCCAGCGCAGCCTTCGGTCTGTGGCTGAATGCCCAAGAGCACCTGGCAAACCACTGATATAAGTCCAAGAGTCCAAAAGCCAAAGGACTTGGAGTCTGACGTTGGAGGGCAGGAAGCATCCAGCACAGGAGAAAGATGAAGGCCAGAAGACTTAGCAAGTCAGCTCCTTCCACATTCTTCTGCCTGCTTTGTTCTAGCTGCACTGGCAACCCACCAGATGGTGCCCACCCAGAGAGAGTGTTGGTCTGCCTCTCCCAGTCCACTGACTCAAATGTTAATCTCCTCTGATAGTACGCCCACAGACACACCCAGAAACAATACTTCTCATCCTTACAATTAAGTTGACACTTAAATTAACCAGCCCATGCTCTTATCCAGGTGAAACTTATTTGAGTCTTACCTATGGATACTATGTTGAAAAAGTAGATAAGACAGATTTCCTAATCATTTACTTTCATTTATTTATTTTTTTAAGACTGGGTCTCACTCTGTTACCCAGGCAGTAGTACAGTAGTGCAATCTCAGCTTTTTGCAGCCTCAAACTGCTGCTCTCAAGCAATACTCCTACCTCAGCCTCCCAAGTAGCTGAGACGACAGGCATGAGCCACCACAACCAGCTAATTTTATTTTTTGCAGAGATAAGATCTCACTGCATTGCCCAGGCTGGCCCTGAACTCCTGGATTCATGCAATCGTCCTGCCTCGGCCTCCCAAAATGCTGTGATTACAGGCATGAACCACTGTGCATGTTCATTGTTTTTAGTTATTGTAATTAATAAAATAGGTTCTGATTTCATCTGATAACGAAGATGATCAAGGAACTGGGTAATAAATCACCATTTGGACACCCCGTTACTGTTACAAATAGATTGCTCATGATTGACCGGAATAACAGCTGAAAATTTAATGAAGCTGCCTGCAGTCTTGTCAGTTCAGTCAGACAGCATAAAGGCAGCCAGTGGAAATATCATTCTTGCTTCGTTCCAGTCTAAAGAATTCAGCAGTCAGCATGAGCTCCTCTGGTTAGAATTATAGGCACAGAACCCTTCGGGTAGAGACTTGCTCACTTGCTGCCAGAATGCCCCTCTGGATTAATTTCAGGCCCAGTGAAGTATATGATTTACTGATTAATAGAAAATATATCTTAACAAACACTCAGGTCAAGGAGACCTATTAAATGCTACTTAATTTTGAGAGGAGGAACTTACAGCACAAAGGCATTATGGAAAATGAATGTTTTTAATGACAAGGACTTTTTCTCACTATACATAGAGCTCAATAGGGGGAACATTTTTCCAAATAGTAGAATACTGGCTCTCAGTATTAGGACTCCAATTTAAAGCATTCAGTTGCAAATGAGAAATTCATCATGTACCCAAAGAGAGAAACCACTCCAGATCTGTGTCATATGGCTTTGATTTCGGGCGGTACTTTTTGGAGCAAGTTAATTCTACTAAAATAATTTAGGGAACATTATTATTCCTTGAGCACAAAGAAATGTCCAACTATGTGTGTTTACTATATGCTATTTTACTTAAAGGTGATAACTACAAAAAATAAAAGAAGCAGAAGAAAAAAGGAAAGAAATACCTCAGTTTCAACAAGAAGGTCTATAGTTTGTGTCACAGTTTGAATTCCCTGAGAAGCAAACTCTCAGGTGAAGAATTGCATGCAGAAAGTTTATTGGGGACTGTTCTCAGGATCAACACCTCTGGGGTGATGAAGGAAGGAGGACTGAGTAAAATAAGTTATAAGTTATACTTGGTGCATTCATAGTCCAGTCTTCAGCCAACCCCACAGAGAATTGTGGAGCTGAAATATCCCTTCAGGGTGGTCTCAAATTGAGGTAAAGATGTGGACCTTTATTACCCCTCCCACAGCTACCCCCACTATCACTGGATACAGGCTGTCCCAGAGAAGGAGTTGTGATTTGGGGGTGAGGCATTTTTCTCCAGCTGTGAACAATCCCTGGAAATGGGATTGATTGAGCTGACAGGACTCATTTACCAACACTCTCAACAGCTGAGAAAATGAGGTCTTCAGGCCTGAAATTGGGTAAACTGGGTGGTATATCATGGTGTCCACTACAGTTCTCTGCTACTAATAGATATATGATTTATTGTGTGTGTGTGTTGGTGTTGGGGGGGATAGGAGAGGTGGCAATGGAGAGGGGAGTTTATAGGGAAGGACTGAAGCCATACAAGACTTTTTTCACCTGTGACTCAAATGTCAGTTTCCTTATTGTTCAGCTTCTTTAACAGTAGATAAGGCCATAAATGTCACCTGTTTAAAATACCTAACAGGATTCCCTGGACTTCAAAGCTAGGAGGAACCTTGAAGATTATCCAGTAAAAAGGCCCAGAGATGTTAAATGCTTCATGTTAGTAGTCAGACCAAGGCTTTATATGCATGCTTGATAGGTGAGACACGACACAAGTCAAGAGTGGCTGATATTTAAATATTGTCATTTCAAAAGCCATCTGCTTCTTATTTTATTCTGAAGTCATTCCTAAGTTTTTACAAGTGCTAGGAGGATATAGTATGCAGAGCAGGGCTGGAATAGCAAGTGATTTCACTCAAGATTGGATAGGTGCACACAGTTGCAAGTGCGTGACCCTGAGACTGAGCGCCTCCTGAAGTTTTCGACCCGAGATTTCTGACTGGCTGTATCTTATTCCAGGCTCTGGTGCTGAGAAAATGGGTTTTTCACCTGAAGAGATGAATCTCATTGTCCTTCAGCAGAGACTGCCTTAAGGTAAAGCATGTAACTCAGTGCTGGGCAATGAGATGTTTTTGTCTGTCTTAGTCTGCATATGCTGCTATAATGAAATACTTAAGACTGGGTAATGTATAAAGAACAGAAATGAATTTCTCACAGTTCTGGAGTCTGGGAATTCCAAGATCAAGGTGCTGGCAGATTTGGTTGTTCCATGAGGGCTGCCTTGTGCTTTCAACCTGGCACCTTATTGATGTATCCACTGGAGGGAAAGAACACCCTGTCCTCACATGGTAGAAGATGGACGAGCAGTAAGCTTCTCTTATAAACACCTTAATCCTGTTCATGAAGGAGGAGCCCTTGATTTAAGAGATAATTGAAGGTCTAACTACCGCTTAATGGTTCCACATTTTAATACTATCACGTCGGCCACAAAGTTTTAACACATTACTTTTGGAAGGGACGTATTCAAACCATAGCAAATGACTTCTGCTGTGAGACTCTGGGAAAGATTTCCTTACTGATGAAAAGGAGACATGAGAGGAGCAATTTTACTTTCTGTCTTTGGCCAGAGTTATATAAATATGTGATGCCTGGAGCTTTTGCAGCCATCTTGCAGCCATGAAGGGCCAAATTAGATGATGAATGCCAGGTGGTGGACAAGAAACGTGAACCAACCAACCCTGGCACTCCCTGCTTTGGGATTTCTGGGAGGTGAGATAATATATTTTAACTGATTAAAACACTATTAATAAAATTTTCTGTTACTTGAAAAATTAAGCCAACTTTTATAATGGTTGGTCTTTTTCTAATGTGAAACTTTGCCCCACCTGCTTGTAAGCATTTTGATTCCTTGAGCACAACTCTCTATCTCCATTAGAACTTCTCCGTTATGCTAACAAATATATTAACCTGGAAAGTGTTAGAGTTTGGCAATAGCTTGTGTTGAAATGTTTCCTCGCTTATTAGCTGTGGGAACTTGGACTAGTGACTTTGCTGCTTTGGACGTCTTAATGTTGTTTAACAAGATTTAGATATTACTATTACTTATTTCAGAGGGTGACTGTGAGGCATATTGACAAAATATATGTAAACTGTTGAACATAGTGCCTGGTACATAATAAGCATTCAATAGATGTTAGGAGTTATTAGCCTTTATTACCTATTCATCACCTCTCTGGAATATTTACTTATTAGAGACATATAAAGGATCTTTTTTATCTTTTGGTCACAAGGCATCCATTTGCTATATCGGCAACAGCCATTTGAGACATGGTTCTTCCTCCATTCTTGGTTGCTTTGGCTCAGGTGGCATCTCACTCCATAATTCAGTTGGCAGAACATATGACCTGGGACTCAACCATCAACTATATCTCATTTGACCATATTATGTGTCTGACCATAAAGATTCTTCACATTTGGTCACACAGTGAAACAAATGCCAGTGAGATACAATGAGACTCTGTTTCCAAAAATCCTAGGAAATTATTTTTCTTCTGATTGGTTTTGAACCTAGAAAGATGGACAATTCGGAGCTGTTGCCACAGCTTTGCTAACATACTGCTCCAGAGATAGAAACTAATAAAGCAGAAGGCAGAAAAAAGAAACTGGGTTCTGATGAGTTGATTTGAACCCTGAATCTAGCCATATGCTCAGCCTGCCCTTCTCCTGGAATCTGCAGTTATGTGACCACCAGTAACCCTGTGTTTGCTTAAGCCAGTTTAGGCTAATTTTCGTTCATTTATGACAACACAAATCTAAACTCACACAAGAGAAAGCTTCCTTTTAAACCTAAAATATCCTAATTGTCACTCTCAAGTGAATTATGATTGAAACTGTCTTGCATATGTGTCAAAATGTATCCATTTTGTTCCCCACTCCTTGAGAGGGCCAGCACACACTTACACTATGAGGTATGCAGAAACTGAAGGGATTGCTTACTATAAATGTTCCTTGAGAAACTTCACAAATTTTCTTAACCTATAGTTTTCTTGGTTTCATTTAGGTAGCATGTGGATAACCTGCTTCATAGAGATGTCAGGATTAAGTGAGATCATATATGTAAAGTATTATTCCTTCATGTTACTCTTATGTTCTTTACTCCTGTATCTTACAGTGCTCAAAGGCACCCCGGGCCAGGCAGCACAGATATTATTCTTTAGCAGTCCAGTTCCAAGGGAACAGTTCCTCATGCATTTGAAGGTCTGGTTGTTGAGCATGCCTGGGAGGAGTAGAAACATAAGCTCTCTTCCAGGCAGCTCTTACAGAGGATAAAGAGCTAAAGAGCAGGGGCATAAGTGTGAGTGAATGAAAAGGAGCCTGGTCTAGGCTTTGGAGAGTAGAGGAAGGTCCCGTGAGGTTGTAGGGAGAATAGGCAGTGAGCTGTCAGGGAAGGCTAAGAGCATGGGTAAGCAGAGTCCAGCTCGTGAGCGGAAGGTCACAAAGACTGGAATGAGAAAGAAAGGAAAAAGAGGAGTGTATGAAGTAGACAGCAAGCACAGAGAAAAGGG